GAGTGACCACCTGCATTTCAGGCAGCCCGCAGACCAGCCTAGGACACTCACAGGGAGTGTGGGGTTCCCCACTGGCCACAGGGTCCGCTTTGGGCTGGGTCTCCCTTCCCGCTGTGCCTCGGGTCCGCCTGGAAGGCTCCGAGCTGAGGCAGCCTCCTTGTGACCAGCCTCTGTTTGCGTCTGTCAGCTGCTATGAAGTGAACCTGCGTGGCTGCCTCCTGGGGGACCTCCTGGTTAGCTTCTCACGGCCACCAGGCAGCCAAGAGGAGGAGAACTTCGTCTGTCGCCTTGGAGAGATCCAGGTGCGGCCGGCAGAGGACCTCGTGGGGGCTCGGCTGGGCGCCCACCTCCTGTCTCCTCCGGCTCAGGGGGGTTGGGGTGGAGGTACCCGGGGGGGAGGGGGTGGACATGCAGGGGCGGCACCCTCGGCCCTCCCGTGGGCCTCCCAGCTGTGCTGAGCCTTCTCTGTCCTGCCAGGTGGTGGATGCTAAGAGCCTGCTGGCCCCTCTGCCCCAGGTGGAGGCCATCTCTCTGTCACATGTCCACTGGCAACCAGCCGCCTCTTCGGGGGAGGTCACCCCTGCTGGGCTCCGCCTCAGCTGTACCCTGCACTGGTCCTTCCCCCTGTCACACGTCCGATGCTTCCGGCTCCACTGCTGCCCAGGGACGGGAGGTGGCCCTCTCGGCAGGGGGCCACCAGTGCCAGAGAAGCCCAAGCTCTTGGGCCTGGCTTTCGTCAACCAGTACCGGATAGTGGACCTGGCAGTGGCCGCTGCTGGGCCTGGCCAGGATGGCCATGTGGAGTTCCTGGTGGAGCCTGTCCCCAGGGAGGGGTTCCTGGTGCCGCAGGCCGAGTGGGGCAGGGCGGCTGTGCGGTACTCCGTGCCCAGCACGTGAGCGAACATTAAAGCATCTCCCGCCTCACGGCTAAGGTTTCTTCCGCAACGGGGCTACGAAATGTGGGGGCAGCGGCGGAAGCCCCAGGTCCCCAGAAGGCTGTGGGCTGTGGCCTTCATGAGGCGCACTGGTGACACGAAAGCCGAGAAGTCAGTTTGCTGGGCTGATGACCCCTGGGGTGCACGGACTCCATTTTTGTCTAATCCCTCTAGAGTACATAGTTCCCAGGGGCAGGGAAAGGATTTGGGAAAGTTTAGTCCAGAAAATTCCATAAAGGGTATTTCCTAAGAGGCTGAGAGACGCATGCTGAGAATGGTGACCTTTTACCCCTGCAGATGGAAGAATTAGAAACGAGCTTACACTGTGGCAGGAAGGCTTTGGAGCAGGCCCTAGCGACGACTCTGAGGGTGCAGACTGCGCTGGCAGAGGCTCCAAGGGGATGGGGTGGGGGTGAGGGGGTGTGGAACGGTGGGCCCCTGCAGGGTCCCTGGCAATGGTGCCTGGGGACAAGTCTGTGTCCCCTTGGGAGTGAGAGCCCAGGGCCAGGCCGACACAGGCTGCATCGCCACCTGGGGGGCGGGGGCGGGGGCGGGGTGTCGTTGCTGTCCAGACCACCTTGTGTTGTGGCTTTCCCAATTTACTGTCCCCTGAGCTGGAGCCATTTCTGGAACATTCCCGCTGGCCTGTGTGCTGCCACGTCTCTCCTGGGTCGTAGGTGCGGGCGAAGCTCGCACAGGGCAGGCTGGGCGTCTCCACCTCTGCCCCGTGAGCCAGGGTCCAAGCTTGGGCTGCAGGAGGCGCAGCGGGGCCCAGGAAGGACCTAGGGGTGCAGCCCAGCCTTCGTGTGGGAGCTCTGGGCCCACTGTTCCCGCACACTGTCCCTCCAGCCTCTGCCAGGGCCAGGCACCTTGAGTAGGTGTTCCCAGGGGCAGCCCTTGCCACTGCGGTCACCTTCCTTCTCCCGTGTGTGTGCTGAGGCCGGCCAGTGGCTCTGCCCAGGGAGGAGAAGGGGCCAAGTGAGCCGGGCACGACAGCTTCCACACAGCTGGCCACTGTAGTAGTTCCCTGGGGTGGGGTCTCCCCACCTTGGGTCATCCTGCTTCTATCCAGTGCCCGAGAGGGGTCTGTTGTGACCCTTTGGTGGGGTCAAAGGCCCAAGTTCCTCGTTCGTGGGGTCTCTCACCCCAGGCTGCCTAGGCCAGGGGTGGGGTTACTTTCCCTTCCCCGTGTCCTCTGTGCTATGAGATGTGGAATGGTGCTAAGGGCTCGGACACTGGGGTGACCTGCCAGCAAGCTGCCTTGGGCCCCAGCTCCAGGCCAGCCAACCTGCCTCTATGCTGTAGTGACACGGGCAGCCACCAGGTGGCAGTGCAGCCATGCCGCGTCTCAGCTCCAGGTCCCCGCACAGGGAGCAGTGTCCGGTGGGCCAGGTAAAATCTGAGCCCATGGGACAGCGGGTCTTGCGGGTGCCACTGGCCTCCGTCCCCACCTTTCCTGCTTTTCTGGGTGCTCACACTCCTCACTGCACAACACAGAACTCAGGTTCCGTGTCTGTCCTCCCTGGGACACTACTCTTCATGTCCCACACGTGAGGCCCCGCCAGCTGGGTCCCAGAAGGGGTAAGACGGCTCCTGCAGGACAGGAGGCGGCCTCTGCTGCCCGGCTCCAAAACGTCTCCCCCTAAGCTGCTGCCACGGCAACTGCTCGCTCCACTTGGCTCCGTTTTGACAATTCCCTGAGTGCTGTGAGCCTCTTCCGTGTTGAACCAGGGGGAACCAGGATGGGGCTCCCTGCCTTCATCCCCACAGAGGCGGGAGCCGTGGGGAAGGGTGGGGGCAGGGCGCCCAGAAGTGGGCAGCACAGCCATTCATGTCTGCTGCCCTTGTTTCATGAAGCCCTTAAAAGAAGATGCTGGTTCCCCCGAATATTTTATGCAGAGGAGGGAAAATTTATAGTGGCAATTAGTTTCTCACAGTCTGGCGAGCAAGCAATTAGAAATAAGGGGGTTTAGCAGAGCATGGCGCGACAGCAGCACGCAGCCCTGCGCCCCAGGAGCGCGGTCCCCAGTCCCACCGACAGTCAAGGCTCGTATGCAGGAAAATTAATGTCGGCCTTTAAGCCTGTGTCCCTCTGGTGGGTGTAATTGCTCTGAAATAAATTACCCGGCATTGTGAAAAATGAAGAACTCAAGTCTTGGTGAGACGTGTTGCGGGCTCGGTGTCGGCGTCTGGCCCCGTCCCAGCCCTCCAGCTCAAGGCCTTCCGCCCGCTCGTGGCGTCTGCTGCTTCCCTGCCCCGTTCTCCCTCTTTGCTCTTCCGGGGCAGCAGCCTTTCTGGAGTGGGGACTCACCCCTGGTGCAGTGGGGTTAGCTCGAAGCAGCTCCTCGAGACTCCCCCACCCCCCAGCACCAAGCCTCCCCTGCAGCAGCCCCGCTGCCCCAGGACGCCCCAGCGCTGAGGCGAGGCAGGCCCTGCCTCCAGCCTGTGCTGGAATGGGGTGGGCGACGGCGGTCTGGAGGAGCGGGCTGGGGCTCCGGAATCCCCTCAGCCCACCGGGCTCCAGCGAAGGCAGGCTACCTCCTGGGACAAGCTGCCCATCCTCCGGTGCCCTCCACCCTCTGTGCCCGGGAGCTGCCAAATCAGAAAGAGCTCTCCTGGTTTGAAGAAAGAAACCTTTATTAATAATCTTAATAATACCGCTGATTTGAATGGTCACACCTGGGAAGCACACAGAATATGGTAAGAAAGGAAGTGGGGCCTGGCTGCAGTCCTGGGGGGCCGGGGGCGGAGCTGCTGCAAGAAAAGGGTCCGGCACGGCGGGGGCTCTGTACAGAGGACAGCCTGTGGCGGGGCTATGTACACCGGGAATAGAAAAGGAGCCTCGCTTCAGGAGCTGATGCAGAATACAAAGTGAGGTGTCGTCCTTTTGAAGTTTCAGGAGAGTAGTGGAGCCATGTTGGGAGCCTGGTTTTGTGTTATTTTTTGCTGCTGCTGCTCCTCCAGATACCTCTGCCTGGCCAGGGGCTTCTCCCGGTACCTACCATCTGCTGCACCCCCGAACCTTCCCCACACCGCTTGCACCCCCTGCTCTGACCTGGCCCTCCAGGCCCGTAGCACCACGGCTGCCAACCTCGAGTGCAGCCAGGCGCTGGCCTGTCCCCGGCCCTCTGCCTCCCTGCAGGACTGGACTCTCTGCAGGGCAGCGGCGGGGAGGGCTCGTCCCAGCAGGCACCAGGAGGTCGGCCTTCGCTCTCACAGACCAGGACCAGGGCCTCCCCCAGAAAGGGAACCAGAAACAGCCAGTCAGAGCGAGTCCTGGGCCTCCAGGCCCCCACCCTCCCACGTTCTTAGGTACAGGAGTCAGTCCTGGCCTGGCAGCCCGGGAGCCCCCTCACACGGAGGGTGGGGTGCCTGGATGCCCTGCCCCATAGTTCTGGAACTGTGTCAGCCCTTGGTGCTGGGGTCGGACCCCAGGGCTGCTGGTCGGACAGCCTCAGTGGCCTGCAAACTCCTCGAGCAGGTTTGCAGGACACGGGCGTTGGTGGCATGGCATGAGGGAGAGCTGGGGCCCAGAGCGCGCAACACAGGGTGAGTGGGCACGGCCGAAGCCAGAGCCCTGGGAATGAAAAGCTGCCCCTCCCCGTGCCCGTCCCAGCCAGCCGTCCCCTCCACTGGCACAGTTGGCAACAAAGGTCAAGTCCTTTGGGCCGCTCTCCTGCTCAGGCCTGCGGCCTGCCCTGCTCCTGGGCCCCACACTGCCTGGGGAGTGGAGTGGGGCCGGGAAAGGAAGGCTTGACAGAACCCCAAGGCCCCTTCCCCTCTCACTCTCCCCCTGCCTGAGTTGGGAGGGCGCTTCCCGCCAGCGCTGCCAGCCGCAGGGGCGAGGCCCGCGCTCTCCTGGGCACGGCGCCCGGCCGACGTGCTCCCCGCTGTGGTGCGTCGGCACGCGGGACCTGGACGTGGTGGATGCTTCTTGGTTTGGTTGGTTTTTTTGTTGCTTGGATCTTAACATCTTTTTTTGTTTTGTTTTTTGTTTTGTGATTTTTTTTGGTTTGTTTTTTTGTTTTTGCCCTTCGCGGTCCAAGGCAGAAGCTTTCACTACAACAGAAACAGAAAGGCGGCACTTGCAGTTTCACGGAAGCACCTGCAGGCGCGTCGCGAGGACAGGGGCCCGAGAGCCCACAGGGCAGGGCATGGGGGCGGGCACAGGGCTGTGCTAACAGCTGAGGTGGGCAGGGGCCTGGCTGGCTCGGCCGGAGGAGTCAGAGCCGGCTGAACGGCCATGGGGGCGGCCTGGAATGAGGTGGCTGAGAAGGTGTTGCTCTGGGCAGTGGGAGGTGAGGGGGCTGGGCACCCCGGGCATGACCAGCCCGCTACCAGCAAGGAACCGATGTACAGTGGAACGGGTAGCAGATTGCGCCCTGGCTGGCGGAGACCCTGCCCTCTAGCTGGCCATCGTCCCCCAGAAGCCCAGCTCTGGTACATTCATCAACACACCAGCACTTCCTTGGCCCGTGCCACTTTTTCCTGTAACGGAGGTGCCAGGCTGGCAGGTGGCAAGGGCCCGCCTGTGTGGGTGGACTCTGCAGAAGCTCTCTAGGCTGTCTCAGCCTCACCTGCAGCCCCAGCCAGCATGTCCTCCCAGAGCCCTGCACGCCTGGGCGCGGGGTGAGTCTCTCTAGATGGGAGCTGACACAGAGTGCTGTCCCACCGGGAAGGCCTGAGGTGGGCATTGCCCCCGCTCCTCACCTCCTCTGAAATGCACCCTGATGAAAAGGCGTGGAGGACAAACGACAGGGCCAGGCTAGCCGGGACCCTATTTCAGGTGGAGGGGAGGGTCTGCTGCTGGGGGTCCAGTGGGGCACACGGCTGAAGGGGGCCCTCGGGCCCTGCGGGAGGCACAGCTATTGAGGTTCCAGGCCTCCCAGCAGGGAAGTTTCTTCCTACACGTTCATTTCTTACAACAGAGGCTAGGAAGGAACCCCTGAGGCTGGTGTGGCTCCTGCAGGACTAGCAGGAAACATTATCAATAAAATTTAATCAGCAATGTTTCCGCTGGGTGTGGAGAGGGCAGATGGCTACTCCTGTGGCTAGCTGGGTGAAGGTCGGAAGGCAGCACGGTCGAGGCTGTAAACCCACCATCCGGGGTGGATGGGAACCCCTTGCTCCCAGAACCCTAGGTGAGGGATGATGGCTGGGGCTCAGGCTGGCTGGGGTGGCTTCCTGGGCCAGGCATCTCCTGCGGCTCTGCAGACCCCAGGGATGCGGCGTGGGTCACCCTCATGGGTGTGGCTCTATTGCTAGCTCTTGAGGAGGGGTCCTCTGCCCAGCCTAGCCCCTCCCGCTATGTGCAGACTGTACCTGAAATGGCTTGGGGCGGGGGTGGGGCACAACATCAACAAAGTCAAACTAGGAACCAAGGTTTCAGACATACAGGGGTGACCGGGGGTCAAAGACACACACGCCATCGTGGGGGAGGGGAGACCAGCTGGCTGGAGGTAAAACCTATGGACTTTAGAGTTGCAGAGGTCAGCGGCGCGTGTCGCTGACCGGGAGGGGCGCACTGTCCTCCTGGTGGGTTTGGACTGCTGGGTTTGGTGTGTACTAGGCAGTCAGTGTGAATGCTGTTAGGGGCTGGGCCTCTTGCTAGTAGGGGGTGAAGCGGCTGTACCCTCCTCGGCAGAGGCTAGCCTGCAACATCAAAGATGAAAAACAGCCAATCAGTACCACCTTTGGTGTGGGGGTGGGGGAAAGCAAAAAGAAAAAAAAATTAAGGAAAAACAAAAAAAGAAATAGCTAACTCCCGCTCTCTGCCCGCCTTGTGGACTGCCTTGGGGAGAATGGGCGTGGTTGTCATGGCAGCAGGAGCGGCCCTGGGCTTATTTCTGCTGTGGTGGTGGTCTGGGCAGGGAGCCCCAGGGCTGCTGGATAACAAGGTTAGAGATGTCTCTTGGTGACTCTCTTGGCTCAGGCCTGGCCCTCCGCTGCCCCTTTCTCCTTCCTCCGGGGAGTTCTGAGTGAGAGGGCTCCTCAGTGCCCCAGGGGCTGCTGTAAGGAAGGACTCAGCCCCTCCAGACAGGGGAGGCTGGGGGGGGGTCTCCTGATGGAATTCCCCTGGCCTGGGCTTACCAGGAGGGGCTGTGCCTGCTTGCCAAGCTCCTAGGGGCTTTCTGGGGTCACTGGGGGCCCAGCCCTCCGTCCCGCCGGGGACCGCGGCTCGTTGGCATGCTTGCAGTCCCATGTCCCTGGGCCACGGAGGAGGCCACAGAAACCTCTCGTCCCACCCACCGGTTTTGCCAAAAAAGGTAAAAAAACGGCAAGGTAGAAAAGTTGGGGAAAAGATAGAAAATCTTAAAAAATGAAAACGTAAGCGGGAACCCTCTGTGAATGAAGGACAGTTTTGAGCAGCTGCACGGAGGCCTAGGCTGATCCTGGAGCCAAAGGGCCTGTGAGCTGCAGTTTCTGGCCTCCATCCGGAGGGGGTGTTCTTCCCACCCCAGAGGCCTGCTCCCTGTGGCTGCCAGCAGTCACAGCTCGGGATGTCGGAGACTCATTAAAAATCAGAAAAGACAACAAAAATTGGGAAGGAGTAATCAAAACCAAAGGACATGAAAAAAATCCACGTTGGCTCTGAAGCCCCTCCCTCCTTATCCCCCAAACATGTTTTCATCTTTGATGCTGGATGCCAAGCTAGCTAAAAACCGACATTAACAGCCCCCGGTTTGGGGGCCAGGGGTGGGCACGGGAGGTAGGTGTCCGTTGGAAGCAGACTTTGGGGTGCAGAGTGAGCTGGGCTGTATGTGTTGACAGCTGGCCATACACACACACACACACAGACACACTGGCCCATCAGGAGTGCGCCCCTTCCACTCCACCCAAAGCACAGGCTGGGCAGAGCAGGCGCCATGTTCCCGGAGCGGGTCTGCAGACCCAGCCTGCAGCCTGGAGCGGTCAAGGACGGGGGGCTGGGGAGAGAGAGCCCGCAGCCCTGTTCCCTGCTTGATGTAAGAAAAGGTGCAGTGAGAGGCTGACAGGACACAGAAGGAGCGAGGCACGGACACCGGCACGAGGGCCCTGCCTGCCTCTGGCGCCTCTGCTGGGGAGGTTCTGTCTGGCTTTACTGGTTACGAAGAAAGGGCCCGGTCGGGACTTGGTTACCAGGCTCAGGAAACAGAGCCACACCAGGACTTCCCAGAGGACCAGACGTCATTACTGGGCAGCTGGCCATCCGGGCAGAGCTTCCTCCTGCTAACTCCACGAGGGCACAAGGGGGCAAGTCCCCCCATGTCCAACTCAAATCCAGGCCTTGGTCCTTCCAGCCACCAGGCCCGATGCACGGATCGGAGGTCTGGGTGGTTACTCTAAGGGCCTCCTGCCCGCCCGCCCCGGCCGCAGCATCACGGATGGCGCCAAGGGCCAGGCCGCACAGGCTCCTTACCATGGTTCCGATGCTGTAGGTCGCCGCGGGGCCGATGGTGTGGTGGTAAGGGTCAGCAGCCGCATAGACTCGGCCGTAACTGGAGAGACGGTACAGGGGTGAGGGGAGCAGGGGAGGGGCGGCAACAGGTCTCCCACCCCCTCCCAGACGTTAGTCCTGAGCGCCCCCCAACGTGGTCCCACCCGAAAGGCCCCGGGCTTTCCTCTCCCCCGGTCTCCTCGCTGTCCCTCCTGCCTGCTTGGAAGGAAGTGTCCAGGACACAGCTGGCCACCCCCTCAGTACATCCATGTGCTGACCTGACCTGACCAGGGGCGACGTGTTCTACCAGGTGCCACATGGAGAGAAAAGGGGTCCTCAGAGCTGGTTTGGAGGGAAAAAAACCCTCGGTCCCCAGAAAGAATTGGGCAAAGTGCATGAAGGGGTTCAGAATAGGAGCAGAAGATCTAGGGGGCCGTGGGGGTGG